TTCATCTTTTTTGATATATTTTTTTTTTTTTGAAAAGTACATAAAAAAAAAAAAAAAAAAACAATTTAAATTTTTTTGAAAATTTGTTAAAATTGTGATAATCAACTTTTTTTTTTTAAATTTGTTCATTTTTTTATGTATTTTTCAAAAAAAAATATATCAAAATCAAATAGAAATTTCGTTAAAAAAAATGAAAATTAAAATGATTTACTCCGCTTGTAAATATTTACCATATATTGTAGTGAAGTAAATATTTTCAATTAAATCAAACTTTTATAGACTAATATTTTAATATTGTTACAATATATTCACAAATTAAATGATATTTTTTTAGCCGAAAATATTTAAGATGTAACTAATTAAAAATGTTCACATTTTAATCAAATATGAACTTCAAGGTCTAATTGATAACAAATTAGTAATTAAAATAGATAAGCACAAAAAACGCTGTCCAAATACCTACATATTTTATATTTTATATTAATCACCTGAAATAATTAACATAAGAAGTAAAAAAAAATTTGTTTTTAAGACAATAATTATTAAAAATGAGAGTACCAATTTTTATACATAAATACTCGATGACTTTAAGACTTAATAATATATTTTTCGAGTTACTTATAATAAATTTATCACTAAGCTCTCTCTTGTACTTATAAATAATTATTTTTTTTAAAACACAGCATTGTTCAATTTATAATACAAAGTTTATAAATATAATGTACATTTTTTATTGATTAAACTCTATCTTACAACAGTAGATTAATAAAAAAATAATTACTGATTAATCCTTATGACCTATACAATTAATCATCATGTGTGATTCATCAAACAAGACTAACAATTCTATTTATAAAAAAAAATAATTTTTAATATAAATTGTAAAAAAAATTCCTAAAATCTCTAAAAATTTTTTTACGTGTATATTAATTAATATTATTTTTACTTATAATAATAATAATAATAATAATAATATTAAAGTAATTGAACCGAACCATCTTTAACCAAATGAGCAACAGCCTTATACTGAACAATATGCTGCGAGCCTTCAGCGATATTTAATTCCCTATCAGTTCCCGGGATAAGAATCCCTTCAGCAGCTTTATTAGCACGTATAAAAACATGAGAATTTAAATTAGGCTTGACAGTGAGCTTGTCAATCTCCAACTCCTGAAAATTACCCGGTAAGTGTTGGAGCACAACACTCTTCAAGAGTGTCTCCATGTTGGTAGTCCAATCTTTAGCAAATTGGAGCTCACTATCAGACAAATAGCGATTATTCTCACTGCGCTTAGCTTCTTCCTTGATGATATCAATAGCATACAGCTCTATTTTCTCCAACCGCGTTCTTAGGTAGCTTGTTATCAAGTACCTGATCCGGTCTATCTCCATTCGATGGATTGTTACGCGTAAGTCGTCTTTTGGAAGCGACTCAATGTTTACTTCCATGCAAGTTATGTGTTCCAGAAGACCGTCAACGTGGTCAGACATGTGTTTCAGGATTTCTGGTGATGACTTTTCATTTTGCCAAGCTTGAGTTAATTCCTCCAGGACTTCTGCTACTGTTTTAGCCTCTTCGTTATCTGACTCGATCATTTCTTCTTGATTATCTTCATCCATTTTTTTTTTATTTCTTATCAGTCGTTTATCTGCAATTTATTTTTTTACAGTATTTATTTTTGACAATTACAATTTTTAGTGCAATATTCAATTATCCTTATAAATATTATTTATTTTTATTAATAAAAGTTATTATAAATTTTTTAATTAAACAAAAAACTATTTTTAATTAATTAAATATGAAAATTAATAATTTTTCTAATAAATAAATTACTGCATAAAAAAATGAGAAAAAAAATTGACATTTAGAAATTTTAATAAATTGAAAATGCAATTTTTTAAAAATAATTTTTCAGAACAAATTTTTTTGTTAAATAAAATTAAAAAATGGTAAAGTGACAGCTAATTATTAGCTAATAAAAATTAAATTAATCATAACAAAATTTTTTAAAAATTCCTCTACTTGTAAAATTTTTAGTTAAATTTTTTTTTGATAATTTATTTATGTTTTTTTATTTTTTCTAAAAATTTTTAGACGTCTGTTACTTTTAGGATTATAATTAAATGGTTAAAAGCAATTAATAAACTACTTACCGGTTAACAAGTGATATTTGTGATTATACTTATAAATATAGGTTATATTTATTGTTTATTCCGTCAAAAATATTTTTAAATATCGATTTTTTAAATTCGATATATTGATATTTTTGCGCGAAAAATTTTAAACTTTTAAAGCGATTTTTAGATTTCTTCTTAAAAATTCATTATTAAAAATTAATAACAACCATAAAAAATAAATTGTATAATTATTTAAAAGTGAAAAAAATTAAATTAATTAATATGAAAATTAAATTAGCTAACATTGAAAAATTTTTATAATTTTTTTATTAAAAAAAATTAAAAGACGAAATTTGACATGTAGAAAATTTGATAAAAATTTTAAATAATAATAAAGTTAGCTGACGTTTCAAATTTTTTTAATTTATTAAATTATAATAAAAAATGATTTTTTTTAAATTGCACTTATGGTTTTCCAAGTTATTTACAAGTGAATTTTTTTTTTTATTTTTTTATAACAATTTTTTCAATAAAATAAAAATTCTAAAAATTTTTAGATGTCGGCTAATTATTAAAATAATTTTCATAAATTTTAAGCGCAATTTAAAAAAAATATTTTACTTATAATTTTTATTTAATTAAAATAACTAAAAAAAGTCAAATTTTTACTAATTTTATTATCTTTAATTAATTAATCAAAATAATAAAATAAAATCATATGTTTCTAAAAATAATAATTCAAGTTATTATTGAAGTTCAAGGACAAACTTATAATAATTGTAAGAAAATATAAATTTAAAGCTACTTAGCTTCCAATCCGTCTATGAAACCATATAATGTGATATAATTAATAATTATAATAATAATTAATTAATAAAAAAATAATTTACAATTACCTTATCACACATTCATCAGTTAAAAAAAAAAAAAATAAGTATTAATATAAATTAAGTTACTGAGTGATCTTGATCTTGTTCTTGACTCAAGAATTTATTTCCTATTTATTTTCAATAATAAAGTACACGAATTTGTGTACACTATATTTGTTGATTAAATTATATGGTTTCCGTTTGGAGCACGCAAGGTGTCCTCAGGTATTCTTAAGTCCTCCTTAACTCAATAAACAACGTCTTAAGACTATTTGCCGACTTATACGTAAGTTTAAGTACATATAGTAAACATCCGAGGGCAAAGCGGGGTGTTAGTCGAACTAGGGGTACAAATTGTCAGTACTTGTTCGATTACCGCTTAATATTTAAAGCGAACTCGGAACGACAGGACGAGCTGCATCCGACAGTGGACCACTCCGCTTCCTCACCACAATAATCCTCTGCTAAATTTGTGCACCCGTGCTTTAACAAAACTTGGATTAGTTTGTTTAGTTACAATTTTTTCCAAGAATTTAATAATATAAAAAAGTAAGTACCAGTTTAAAGGCATCAAGATAAAAGACTATTTCTTCCTTACAGTGACAGTATTCTTCTTATGAATAAAAGAAGAAATTTAAATAAATTAACATAAATATTTGTTTTGAAGATGACGGTGCTAACGGGTCCCAGTTTTGCCGCATATGGCAGCGGTGGTTGGGCTCGTGGGCCCAGCAATCAAACGGTGGTCGACAAAGTCCTACCGGAAATGTTGCACCTAGTTGATGCCCATTGGTATCAATTCCCACCGATGAATCCACTGTGGCACGCAATCCTTGGTTTTGTTATTGGCTGTCTGGGTACTGTTTCAGTTATTGGGAACGGCATGGTTGTCTTCATCTTCACCTCGACTAAAAATTTAAGAACACCCAGCAATTTATTGGTAGTCAATCTTGCTTTTTCAGACTTTTTAATGATGTTCTGTATGGCTCCACCTATGGTAAGTCATAATTATAATAATTAATCTAATAAATTTTATTAAATATTTATTTTGTTATTTTAATAATTTTTTTAACAAATAAATTATGGCAAAAAAAAATTTTTTTAAATTGTCATGTAGAAATTTAAAAATAGTAAAATGTTTTTAAAAATAATTTTTTTGGAACAAATTTGTTTGTTAAATAAAATTAGCCGACGTTTAATAATTTTTGACTTTTTTTTATTAATTAAATTAGAACTAAAAAAATATTTTTAAAAAATTGCACGTATAACTTTTTAAATTTTCTATCTGTGGAATTTTTTTTTTTTTTTAATTGTTTTTTAATAATTTCTCATTAAAATAAATCACAAAAATTTCCAGATGTCATACTTTAAATGTCACACAATTAAAAAAAATGTAATTTCATATTTATATATTAATTTTCACACATGATAATTAAATTAGCCGACATCTGAACATTTTTAGAATTTTTTATTGAAAAATATTAAAGAAATATTTTTTTTTAATTATAATTTTTATTGATTGAAAAAAATTAAAAATTTTCAAATATCTGCTGGAATTTTTTATTAAACTTTTTTTTTCATAATAATTTAATAGCTATAAAATTCTAAAAAAATTTCTGAACAAATTTTTCTTGCTATAATTTATGTGTTAAAAAAATTTATAAAAATTATCAGTTGTCTTCTGTCACTTTCAGTATCATATTTTTTTTTCTTAACCAGAGAAGTTTTTTAAATTAATAATTCCAATAATAAAAAAAAAAAATTTTTTTTCTAATCAGGTAATCAATTGCTTTTATGAAACATGGGTCTTTGGTCCACTGATGTGTCAATTATATGCCTGTGCTGGTTCCCTGTTCGGATGTACCTCCATTTGGTCGATGACAGCGATTGCATTTGACAGGTACAATGTTATTGTCAAGGGTTTAGCAGCCAAGCCAATGACTATTGGCGGAGCATTACTGCGAATTTTGGGTATCTGGCTGTTCTGTCTTGCATGGACTATCTTCCCACTTTTCGGATGGAACAGGTAAAATAATAATGAAACTAAAAAATTACCCGACAGCGAAAAATTTTTATTAATTGAATTACCATAAAAAAAAATATATTTTTAAAAAATTGCACGTATAGTTTTTCAAATTTTTTACATGTGCAATTTTTTCTTTTAATTTTTTTTTTAATAAAAAAAATTCTAAAAATTGTCAGCTGTCTGCTAATTTTATTTTCATAAAATAATAATTTTAATTATTGATCCATCGTAATACAATTATGGAATAATAAATAAATAAATTTCAGATATGTACCGGAAGGTAACATGACTGCTTGTGGTACTGACTACATCACCAAAGATTGGTTCTCAAGATCATACATCCTCGCGTACTCGATATTTGTTTACTACTTGCCACTCTTCCTCATCATCTACAGTTACTACTTTATAATCTCAGCTGTAACTGCTCATGAGAAGAATATGCGAGAACAGGCTAAGAAAATGAACGTCGCATCTCTTCGATCTTCAGAAAATCAAAATCAAAGCGCTGAGTGCAAACTTGCCAAGGTAATTAATTAAATAATTATTGCATTGAAAAATTGCTAAAAAAAAAAACAAAAAATAACTAACAACCTTGCAGATAATATTAAAAATTAAATATTGCATTGAAAAATTGTTAATAAAAATAATAATACTAAAAATTAAATAAATTACAGGTTGCATTAACAACTATTTCCCTCTGGTTTATGGCCTGGACTCCATACTTGGTAATTAATTACGCAGGAATCTTTGAAACAATAACTATCAGTCCACTTTTCACGATCTGGGGATCGGTATTCGCTAAAGCCAATGCTGTGTACAATCCAATTGTCTATGGTATCAGGTGAGTTATAAAATAAAATAATTATGACACAGAAGTTAACTGAAAATTTTTTTCATTTATGTAATTTTATAGCAATAAAATTATGAAAAAAATTTACACATGAAAATTTAAAAAAAATTATTAATAGAAATTTTTTAAAGAATTTTTTTTATTGTAATTAATTGTGATAGAAATTAAAATAAAAAATTAAGTTATCAGCTAGCTTCAGTATAATAATTAATTAATTTATTAAATTTAATAATTAATTAATTAATAATTGATTTTATTTTATTAGTCACCCTAAATACAGAGCAGCATTATTCGCAAGATTCCCATCATTGGCTTGCGCTGAAAAATCATCTGACGATGCTATTTCCACAGCGACCACTACTACTGAAGGTGAAAAAGCCAACGCGTAAGCGCTGTTAATTAATTAAATCGAGACAATAAAATAAAAATGAGTCATCAGTAATTAATTACCAAAAGTCTCGAGAATAATTTATAACAGTAAACGGAATACTCGCAAGAATAAACTCTTAAAGAGTTATAAAATTTAAATAATTTCGATATAATAAAATCTATTGCAAGTATCTGGCTCATTTAATTTATTAAGAATTGTATATACTGTGTAATTATATATTTTAAATAAAACAATGTAAGGTGAGTTGTGATTTGTATGAAGAAATGGGAACAAGTGCAGGTCATCTTAAATAAATAAAAAATGTGTTAAAAAATTTCCGTACTTGTGGAGATTCCGTTTAACTTGTGATAAATTAGAATATAAATTTATAATAATTACAAATTGGATGATCTGCGCTTTATTCACCGGGCACCAGTGTAACCAATTATTTATGTTGTTCAGCGGCTGTAAGATTGATAAAAATAAAAAAATAAGGATTCATAAATCGTTTAGGGTTTACGATTTTTTTTTTGCACCACAATAAAAGTCGTTTATTACCCAAGCGATACGATGAGTTTAGCTTATTTTATTATTGTTAATCTTAATGTCTTCTGAAGATTATAAGCATTTAATTTGAAGACGATAAACCCTCACTAGTATGTGGCTTCATTGTAAGACTATTTAAATCAATGTTCACCAGCACCACATGTCTGAACAACTGGCAATATTGTATCTGTCATTAATTTTTTATTATTAAATAAACCCTTCAGGCAAAATAATATTTTTTTATTATTTATCCTTTACATTATTTATCAATAATAATTAACTATAAAATTTATTATTTATTTTTATTACAGTAATAATTTATAATTAATAATGAATATCAGATCAATAATTATGGTACTTAATTAAGTTGTCTAATAAATAAAATATCAATTCGGGGTGGTAATTAATTTATGTACATGCTAATAAATAAATTATATACGCCCAAGATTTTTGCCAAAAATATTAGAGTTGTGATAAATTTTAATTTTTTTATAAATTAATTTTTGCTAATTATAAAAATTTTAATTTTAAAATTACAGCTTTTTTTTAATTGGTCTTAAGAAAAAATTATAAGACATTTTTTTTTGTGAAATTAAATTTTGAACTTTTGTTTAAAAAATTTTTTATACGACCAATATTTCCGCCGTAATATCAAAAATTTGACATTATCAATTATTAATAGTAACCTTGCAGTCACTATGTGACTGCCGTGACTTTTGAAATATAAATAAACAAAATTTTGCTTTATTAAATAATGATTTTTGTTAAATTGCAGTGTACTTTCTTAAATATTGACGTTTTTAAAGATATAAGCTCATCCCGATGTTACATTTATCAAGAGCTTTCATTTGAGTACCCACATGCATTTTTGATATATTTTTCATATATACATATATATATAATATATAAAAATATATGAAATATATGAAAAATTGATGTGGGTACTCAAATGAAAGGTCTCGATGAGTGTAACATCGGGATGAGCTTATATCTTTAAAAATGTCAATAGTTCACTAGATACAAGGTCAACGATACCAAATTTAACCATAAAAACCTATTTTATCATATAAATACACTGGGTACAAAATTTTGCTTATTCTCTTAATAATATAAATTTTAAGATTAAAGCAAAAATCCTGGTCCTAAATTTATCAGTCATTCAAGCCTCAGTTTTAGTTGATGTACTATCATCGCTCTTCGGCGGCGGAGGAGCTCCGATACCTAGACAAGGTAATCTATCATGAAGAGCTGCGCGATACTTTGGATGACTGACTGCATAGACAAGAGGGTTGTAACAAGCGTTAGTTTTGGAGAAAAGAGATCCCCAGATCGTGAACAGAGGTGACAAGAAAGAAGCTTCAAAAACGCCGGCGTAATTTATCACCAGGTACGGTGTCCATGCCATGAACCAGAGTGACACTGTGGTGAGTGCTACCTTGGCTAACTTGGCCTCTGCACTAGGACCATCTTGGTCTCCACTGCGTAGAGATGCTACGTTCATTTTTTTTGCTTGCTCTCTCATTGCTTTTTCATGCGTTGCTACAGCCTTTAGTTCAGAAAATTCGCTTAGAAAATTTTTAAGTTTTAATTTTCTTTTGTATTTTGTACTTACGGATACGATGAACCAGTAGCAGTATATTATGGTAAAGAGTGGAGTGTAGTAAACGAATAGAGAGTAAACCAAGATGTATGATCTTGAAAACCAGTCTTTGGTTAAATAGTCTGTTCCGCATGATGTCATATTACCTTCTGGGACGTATCTATTCCATCCGAAGAGTGGAAGAAGTGACCAGGCAAGAGCTAGTATCCAAACGACTGAGATTTGGATTATTGCTCGAGGTATTGTTAATGGTGTACCTGACATTCCCTGAAAAAATAAATTATTTTAAATAATTTTTATGAAAATCAATTTTAAAAAAGTTTTTATTAATTTAAAAAACTTTTTTTTAATTAAAAAAAATTTTATTAATTTATTTGTCAGTTTTAAACAAAAATTTATTTAAAAAATTTTATTTGATTATTTATGATACTGAAACCAAAAGATACTTGATCATTTTTGGGTTTGTTTTAAAAAAAATAAATTAATAAAGTGTTAATAAAATATTTAAAAAAAATCTCATTCATAATTTCAACAAATGGAAGTTTTTTTTTTTTTTATGAAAATTAAGTTAGCCAACACATAAAAATTTTCAGAATTTTTTTTATTGAAAAAATTATTGTAAAAAAAAAATTCATTTGTAAAAAACTTTAAGAGCAGCTAACTTTATTATTATATTTTTTTTTAATAATAATTAATCTATTTAAAAAATCATGAAAATTTCATTAATTTTAGTTTCATGAGGATCAAAAAAAAAATTTTATAATCTTGGTGTAATTAAAAAAAAAAAAAAAATTAAAATTATAAAAAATTAAAATTAATTTACCTTCACAATAACATTGTAACGATCATAAGTAATCAACACCATGGTCCAAATGGATACACACCCACACAATGACCCGAACATTGCATAAATATCACACATCAGTGGCCCTAAAAATCACAAAAAAAAAATGTATAAAATAAATTTATACACTGAAAATAAAATTAACTTGAATCAAGAGAAAAAATTAAAAAAAAAAATAAAATCTACTTGATCCAATATAGTGAGTAACTCACCAAGTACCCAAGTTTCAAACCAGCAATTGACGACCATAGGCGGTGACATGATAATCATCATCAAGAAATCGGAAAAAGCGAGATTAACCACCAGAATATTGTTGGGTGTCCTAAGAGAAGGCATGATTAGAAAAATATAGACAACACAGCCATTACCAGTCCATCCGAGAATTCCAATCACAACCATCACTATTCCCAGAGCTTTGTGCCATATGTGGTGCATCGGCGGGTACTGATACCAATGCGGGTCGACCAAGTGTAGCATTTCTTCAGGCACTTTGTCCGCGACAGTCTGATTGCTGTATCGCATCCACTGCTTCGCGGCGTGAGGTCCCATTGACAGAGCAGCGTGTGATATCAAAGCCACTCCAGATAAAGGTGAAGCTGCTGTTGTGGTCAATGCTGTTGATATTGAGGACGCTGGTAGAATCGTTGATATTGACTCAATTGTTGATGTTACGTTCTCCATGGCTGAGTGTATCAAAGTCGTATCCATTTTAAAAAAAATTTATTTCACTGGAACTAGCAGGATTTTTTCAGATGTAGTTCATCAATACTCTGTGGTACTGACTCGGTGCTCAGCACAATCAATGAACCTTGGTGATAGCTTTTATAAACCTCCGAAGCCGGCGAAAATTTGAATATCATATTTATTATTCAAATTAAACTCTTGTAATCTTGACATTGAATTTTTTGCTAGATGGACTTAAGTATTATTCACAGCAATGGTAATGATAAATGTCATATTTGATTTTTACCACTGTCAATTATAGTATTTACATTATTTTATCAGTTTATTCAAATAAGATTAAAAAAGTATTATTTGTTATACAATTATTTTTTCTTATTATTATTATTATTATTGTTAGGGTAAAATTAAAATAATTTATTTTAGTGATCGTTTAATCTTACGAATTTGTTGGCTACGACCTTCGAGCAAAGCTGCTTCGAGTTCTTCAGCAACGTGTAGCAAGTTTGTAGCATCCGACTGGAGAACAATGTGCTGGAGTTTTTGGGAATCGTCAGAATTTTTTAAAGCAAAGTCCATTGTTACAAAAGGATCGCATTGCTTCAACATTGATCTTGATGCAATCTAAAATTATTCATTTTTTGGATGAATTTTTTATACAAGGATTGTTTATAAGAAAAAATATAAATGAAATACTTGAGTTTCAAATCTCCACTCCATGTTATGATACTCGGGTAATTTAAAGCCGATATTTGATAAAGATGATTCTAACTCTGGCTTTTTAGAAGTGTATAGATTAGTTATTAATGGTTCTTTGTCGTCAATAAATCCTAGAGATATTACTAGTTCTTTAAAATCATCGGGAGTTAACTGAAAAATAAATTTTAAGATTTAATTATTTGCTAAAATATCAGTAATTATTTAATTATATTGAAATGATAATTTTTTTAAGTTTTTTAACAAATAAATTATCAAAAAAAAAAAAACATTATTAAAAAAATTCCATATAAAGAACTTTCAAATATTATAAATAAAATTTTTTTTTAATAATTTTCTAGACCTTGTTTATACTTCAAGAAAAATCAAAAAATTTTCGTGTCTGCTTATTTTAGTGTGATTAAAAAATTAGATTTATAATTTTTATGAAAATTAATTAAGCAGAGTAAAGAAGCTTTCAAATATTAGAAATAAAATTTTTTTAGAATGATTTTCTAGGTCTTGTTTATATTTGAAAAAAAAAAATCAAATAAATTTCAAGTTTCTGCTTATTTTGTGTAATTGAAAAATTAGATTTATAATTTTTATAAAAATTAATTTAGTAAATATTTAATGAAAATAAAGTTTGCCGACATTTAAAAATTTTTAGAAATTTTTTGTTGAAAAAATTTCAATTAAACAATTAAAAAAAAAATTGTCACATGTAAAAAACTTGAAAAACTATAAGGGCAATTTTTTATAAATATTTTTTTAGCTGTAATTTAATTAATAAAAAAAATCAAAAATTTTTAGACGTCTGCTAACTTCAGTGTCATAATATTTAATAATTTTCTGAACAAATAAATTACGGCAAAAAAATTGACATGTAGAAATTTTAAGAAATTGAAAATGCAATTTTTTTAAAACAAATTTTTTTGTTAGAAAAAATTAAAAACTAGCCAAGACTGCTAACTTGTCATATAATTTTTTAGAGCTCCTAAAGATGACATTTTTTGAATAAATTTTTCTTCCCATAATTTATTTATTAAAAAATTTTTTTTCATTTATAAGACCTCTCTTAATTTCAGTATAATTATTTAAATACCTTATTTTTGCATGATTCTATCAATAAATTGATCAATCCTTCAATTGATTGCTTGATATTATCCGGTTCTACCTCCAGTTTTTCTAAACAAAAATAATTATATTTTGATTGAATAAAAATTTATTTTACAGCAAAATTTAATGAATAATTCAAAAAACTTACGAGCAGCATTAATATAAAGCTTATAATTATGTCCTTTTTGAAAATAATCATTGGTTAGCTTACAAAAATCCTGGAGCACTAAAAAAAATTATTAGGATAATTAAATTATATTAATTAAAAATTAATTTGATTATTTAATACCTTGCGGTGGTTGCTTAGATAAAAATTCAAGATGTTTGCGATTATCTTCATCTAAAATTACTTGAGACATTTTTTATAAATATTAATAATAAGTAAATAAATAAAAACACTCCAAAATATTTACTTTTTTAGTTGTCAAACTAGTCACTAGAGGCAGCACTTGACCTGTAAAAAAAATAAAAATATTATCTCTCAATTATCGCGTAGAGAAGATAGGAAAAATTTGATAGCGGGTTTTATTGTACAAATAAAATATAAAATAATAAAGATTAAATAAAAAATTACTTAACTTTTGGAGAATATAATTTATTAAACGTCAAAAATTTAATTACAACTATTACAAAATGATTTATAAAAAATTTTAGACAAATTTAAATTGCCTTGAAAAACATAAAACACAATGTTGATATAAATTATAGCTTATTTATAAAATATGTATAAACTTAATTTATGTATTAAAGTCGATTGTCGGAGTTCCGCTGATTATAAAAAATAATATTAACGATTAAACGTTCAATGATAAATATAAACTAAAGCCTTAGAACTAGATTCACAATAGTTGATAATTATTAATAAATGAAATTAAAAAAAAAAAATACTGTGTACAATATCATTCACACCGTTATTTTTTTTGTTTCCTGATTTATATAAATTAAAAATTTTACTGCTAATTGTCATATAAAAGTATAAATGATGATATGAGTATTTATCGCATCATTTCATGAGCCATTTGAAGACATATTTTCATATCTTCGTGATCGTGTATTGAACTTTGTATCCTGTCAAAAATAAATTAATTTTATTAATAATAGTTACTAATTATTTATTATTATTATTATCTATATTATTAAGAGAATAAGATAAATTTTGAAATTTGATGTCATTGCAAAAGTCTTGATTTAAATTTGTGCCTTTTCAAAGTTTCATATCATTCTCACCGATAGTCAATTTATTATGATAAGTATTTAGGTTGCATTCGAAAATTCTGTATCTCTAGATACATAATTAAAAAATGACCTTTTATCTTGTGAAATATTGACATTTTTTAAGATATAAGCTCATCCTGATGTTACACTCATCGAGACCTTTCATTTGAATACCCACATCAATTTTTCATATATATGTTATATATATTATATATATATGTATATATGAAAAATATATCAAAATGCATGTGGGTACTCAAATGAAACCTCTTGATGAGTGTAACATCAAGATGAGCTTATATCTTTAAAATCGTCAATATTTAAGAAAGTACAGTGCAATTTAACAAGTCATTGTTTAATAAAGCGTAGTGACTGCAAGGTTTCTAGTTATTATTGTTATTAAAAAAAAACTTACTTTTTTGAAAATGTTTCTAAAAGAGAACGATCAAAATTTCCATTTAACAAAGCTTGCTTACAAAAATTCGCAAGGCTAGAAAAACATTTTTGTGACGTATTATCTCCATTATTCCATTCTGGTAAATCTTTAGTAATAGCCCAAGCTATAAAAACATAATGCATCAAAGAAATCCAGTGTTGTGACTGCAACAATTTCATTCCTTGTTCCATCAAAGTTTTCTGAAATAAAAAAAAAAAAAATCACTAGTTAAAAATAAAAAATTCATACTTTATTTTTTCCATTATTAATTATTCATTTTTAAATTCTTTATTCACCCGAATTTATTTTGGATATTTAACCCCGCGACCCAGTTGAATATTCTATAGAAATGCAAATATAAAAAAATTTCAATACATTTAATTCAAGCCCAGTTTAACAAGTTTTTTTTTCTTTGTACTCAAACCCAGACTTTTATTATATTAATATTGATTGCATGGAATATAAAAATTAAGTTAGCTAACATCTAAAAATTTTTATTTGTAAAAAACTTGAAAAACTATAAGTGCAATTTTTAAAAAATATTTTTTTGTTTCAATTTAATTATTAAAAAAAAAAAAAATCAAAAAAAGGAGTCACTTTTTCAATAAAAAAAAATTAAAAATATTTTATATATAATTTAATTTTTATAAATAAAATAAACATACCTGAAAGGCATCTAAATGTACATAGGCACGTATGTAAGCAGAATCTCCAGTAGAAATGAGACTACTGAAAATATTCTGCCTTAAAACACCCAACCTCTCCTGCAACGGACTAACATCAGCTGCTGGAATAATATTAAGAATAACATCACGCAATTTACTATCACTGGACAACGTCCCTTCCTCTTGCATCGTAACTAAATTCATGATCATCTTAACCAGCTGTTCGTTGCTCAATCCTCTGAGGCCGTTCAATAAATTATTGCCAGTAAATTGGCAATCACCGTTCATTAATTTGTACTTTTTATCCGGAGTAGTCAGAAGCGACTCGTTGAATTCTCCTGAAAGATCTAGCCTCTTTTTAATTGATAAATGTTCGCGCATCATTATCGGCGACTGCGATTGAGAGTCGGGATTTTTTTCTGGAGTATGTTCACGCGCGCTGTAGCTCAACAAGCTGTTCCTCTTGGAGTCAGCCTCGGGTGACCAGATTATCGTCTTGCTGCGTCGACCACGCTTTTGAATCACCAGCTCGTCCGGACTCGAGGTCGCTATTGAAGCAGAGTGCCAAGGACTCCGGTCTGTGTTTAAATTGTTGTTTGGACTTGCAACAGGTGGTGATCCTAAGGATACTGATAAACTTGTCATGTCGGGGATTACGGCCAACGCTTGCCGTAAAGAACTGCGACGTCTTGGTCGTTGTCCGAAAAAATCTGCTCGGGTTGTCATTTTATTATCTGATTCAGTGGATAAATATTATTTATTTTAAGGAGTATTAAAATAGGTTATAATTGAGACTATTGAGAGTAATTATTAACTCACTGGGTAAAAAATTAAAAAAAAATATTAATTTATAATCAACTAAGTATTATGACACTGTTATGAGCACTTTTATAATTATTTTGATTGTGTATTATCAAATACATGTCATAAGACAACACTGCACGCGAACACTATCAACGACACTTATTCTGGCGGGAAAAGAAAAAAAAAATACGGGTAAACAATACACCTATATACATTATTGTAAGTACTTATTAACTACATAACCGTTTTATTTTTTTTTTACGGAGTGGAATTAACCAGCTGATTAAGTGCTGCCGCCTGGAGGGCAGTTGAGAAAACATAAGTTAGTTTTTTGACAGTTTCACCAACTTTGGGGTTGTATTAAAAAAATTTTTAAATAAGGAAAATATAAATGATAAAGTTAGCAGTCACTTGACCATTTTTTTTAACAAAAAAATTTGTTCCAAAATAATAATTTTAATTAATTGCATTTTTAATTTTTTTAAATTTGTACATGTCAATAATTTTTTTGCCATAATTTATTTGTTAAAAAAATTAGTAAATATCTTCTAAATTAATTTTCATAAACACAATCGTGAATTTAACAATCATCTGTAAATTTTTTAGATTTTTATAACAATTAAAAAATTATGAAAATTAAATTAGCAGAAATCTAAAAATTTTTTTGATTTTTTTCATTAACAAAATTGTCACAAAAAAAAAAAAAAAAAAAATTTTCATTCACAAAAAACTTGAAAAACTATAAGTAAGTGCAATTTTTAAAAATATTGTTTAGTTCTAATAAATGAAAAGAAATCATAAAATTAAAAACTTCAGTTAACTTTTGTGTTGTGAAGAATTGTGTTTTGAAAAATTATGTCTTTTTTTTCTAAGTATTTTTTTACTTGTGATTTAATTAATAAAAAAAATGACATTAAAGTTAGCAGCCACTTGACCATTTTTTAATTTTTTTTTTCAACAAACAAATTTTTTCCAAAAAACAATTTTAAAAAAATTGCATTTTTAATTTTTAAAAATTTTTACGTCAATTTTTTTTTTTTATAATTCTTTTTGCCGTAATCTATTTGTTAAAAAAAATTAATAAATAAATAAAAACAATATAAATACAAAATTTCACTTTTTTATAAGGAATAAATTTTATTTACACCAATTGATTACATGTAATTATTATTTAAATAACCTTTCACGCCCTGAAAATTAATTACAATTAATTGCTTCAGAGAATAACGCACACAATTATATGACAAATCAAAATTTTAAATGTACAAAATTTACATTACAATTTTAGGGCGAAAAAACAGGAAGGAAGAGGTAGAGAGGATCGAAAGGATTCTGACTGTTTTTTTTTTTCTTAACTCAACTCAAACCCGGCACCAGCTTGTATGGCGTAAAGTAATTTTTCCCTTAAAGTCACTTCATCAGGAAACTCCGGTAATTTCAACAGATTCATACAGGTACTAGACGTGGGTAAGCGATCCAAACTCCCCGCATTTTGTATACAAAACGGTGGATCAAGTTCCTTAAAAAAAAAAATCAAAAAATCAAATCATTAATTTTCAACGTCATAAAAAAAAAAAATTTTTTTTAAATACCTTAAATCCCAACAGAGGAGGTCTACTACAACTGGTAACAAACTTAAGCAGCTGTCCCTTTTGTTTATTATTAAACTTCCCAACAACGCTCCAAAAAGCGTTGATAGTCGGATGCTCCGGAGTGTAACCACCAGTGTAATTACAATGCTGCTTCAAATCCTCCACATCAACAGGAATCTGAGCTCCAGAAATAAGAACCTGCATTTCTTTATTATTAAACATCTGCAGCCACTCCAGCGGAATAACATTAGCAAGTCCCTGCTTAAAAGCATAACACTGAGGTCTAATTTCCTTATTAAGTTTGTAATCAGCCATCAGATGAATGTACTCAATGCGATTGGCATTAGTAACAGGAATTTGAGAGCCCTTAGGTTTAAGTTCATCAACTCTTCTTTCTCCTAATTCATCAGACAGAACAGTAAAGTCCAAACCCAAGTCAGCAACATCACCCTTGTAGCTCTTCAAGTACAAAAGATTCCTGTACATCACCGGATCTAGTGAATCTAAATGATGAATATCAACGTCCGAATGTGTGCCTACTATCTTTGACAAAAAGAACTCCGCAAAAGGCAATTCAACTAGTAAATTTTCATAAATAGCTTTCCCGAGCATTCTTCCAATAAAAAAGTAATGTTTAGGAAAATCATCAATTAACAAATGAACTTTCGGATTCGGGTAGAGCATATTGTCTTTAGTAAGTCTAAAAAACCCACGGTTGGGATCGAAGCTAGTTTTAAGTAACTCAGACAAGAACTCTCTGAACAATCCCCCGCCGTCTACCCCAGCTTCGTCAACGCCAGCAGTATTAATAAACTGGACCCTCATTTTTAATCTCAACTCAGGCTCGTTCTCCAAAGAGAGTTTATCCAGCGCATCTTCATACAAATAACTCCTTCTCACTGCAATGTGAATCGCCGGACCTTGCATGAAGTGAGACAACTCGCCTTGCTGGTCAGACCTGTCCTTCTGAATCAGCGACTGAAGGACCATCACCCTATCATTAAAGGGCACAATAAACGGCACAGTTCTCAGCAAAGTAAGCGCTCTTAATTCTTTAGTCGAAAGCGGAGGCCCACTTTGCGCTTCTTTGTCTGATTTTAGCAACCCACCGGTCACTCCTTGCCTTCGTTGCCAAATTAGGTCAAAGTCTGGCTTGGAACTGATCCAGTGGCCCTCCGGGCAAAATTGCCTTCTTAAATCCCTTGAGTGCAATTGCCTCAATAAGCCAGTTGTCGCTTTGAAGAGATACTCCCAGATCTGAGTCTCGTGCTTTGAAGAATGGACAGTGTCCATGTCGACCATTGATCCAATTACTGCTCTCATATGGTCATCACGGACTGTAGACCTGGTGTCTGAAAATATAATCTCAACCAGACCTAAACAAATGTCCTTTAGATGACCGGAAAGCGGTACTAGCTCGGAAGTATTAAAGGGCATCGCGTTCTGGTCATTTTGCGAATCATCTGACCGGAAGAATTCATTGTCGTGCAAGGTAGCTATCAATAGGCTGAACAATGAGCAGAATACTGCGACCATAGGTGCTACTTTTTTAGTGTCTTCGATACTTGGTGGGATTCCCCGGGATATCATTTGTAAAAGAGGTGGTGTTGATAGCATTGTAGCCCAAAGGCGACGCAAAAACACTGGTTTGAAAGCTAACATGTAGAGCAGCTTGTATTTATGCGTTGCTAGCTTATCAGTTTGAAGTAAATTGTCGCACAAGCGACATACATACTCAAGAACCAGGGGATTGTCGCTGCTGAACTCCAGAGCGCTGAGGATACGGTTGACTCTGGTGTCGTTGTTCAGCATCGACATACACTGCCGTAAAATGTCTTGGTTCTGGTCTATTATTATCGTCCCACTGTCTGTAGACATATTGTCATCGTCTTCTAGCTCTGTGGTGAACTCTCTGACGTTCCAGGGCGCTTTTTGCGTTAAACTTAATGAACCTAGGACCTGGATGTAGTTGATAAAAGTGTACTCGTTGCTTACGGAGAAGTTAGTGGGTTCTAATGATAAAATACCGTAGAAAAGACTGGTTGTGGGTTCTGTGATATTTAGTCGGTTTATGACGACTAGAAGTTCAATGTATGGCCACGTGGGATCTGTTAAAGCTGGGAGTAAAAATGAACGGATTGCTTCGGACATTCGGGGGATTAAAATTGAATAAATAAATTGGGTGAGGACAGGTACATAAAATTCTTCGCATCCTGAACATAATTCTAGTGGACGTTTCATTAAGTTGATGCAACATTTTATTCGGGGAGTTGAAGGTACTGATGTTGTACTGGTGGGTAAAGATTGAATTTGTTGCGAGAGTAAACTCATTAAATTTCCGAAGTAAGAGTTTTGGATTAAATATACTAATGTGTCGCGGAGATAATTGTTACGGTGAGTTTGATTTGGGAGTGAGTCGTCACATGTTATTATAAAAGTCTCTAGTACTCGGAGAGGTATTGCTGTTGATTGACTATTTGTATTGTGGGATATTAATTCCATACTATGCTTTAGGATCCATCTAAAATTAAATTGAGTAATTAATTAATTTATGATAATTGATATTAAATTGGGGGAGTGGAAATAGGTGACAATTGATTTATTTTTATGAGCTTAGGAATTAAATTTTAGAAAATATTATTAAATTTGAGTATTTTTTTAATTAATAAAAATAATGAATATTTAGATTGTTTTTAATTAAAATTATTCACTTATGTCAGTCAAAAAAATAAAAATAGTCTTTTATGATACTGAAATTAACAAACGTTAATTTTTTATAACAGATTTTTATGAAAAAATTTTAATAAAAAAATTCCACATCTAAAAATTTAAAGAAAAACTAGCAATCTTGCAGTCACTATGTGACTGTTGTGATTTGTGAACTATAAATAAATAAAATTTTGGTTTATTAAATAATAAATTTTGTTAAATTGCACTGTACTTTCTTAATTATTGAGGCTTTTAAAGATATAAGCTCATCCCGATGTTACACTCATCGAGAGCTTTCATTTGAGTAGCCACATGGCATTTTTTTGAATATTGGATTATCATATCCAGGATGACTATTCTGGACACAAAATTTTTCTTATTCTCTTAATAATATAAATTAAAGTGCAAATTTATTTTTAATACTTTTTGTTAAAATTCATTTATAGTAAAAAATAAAACAAAAATTATTAGATGTCAGCTGATTTCAGTATCATAATTTTCTACCTATTTCCACTCAGATAAAAATAAAAATAAAAATAAAAAAATACATACTTTATCCTCCAAGACCACTCGATATTATTAATTAAAATGTCTTTTTTATTCGCCAATACTTGCTCTAGCAACCAATTAAACCTCTGCAAGTCCACAGTCGGTTGATAAAAAAATAGAAAATTTTTAATGTAAGGAACCAGACCATCTGCAGTTATAAATTTAACAGTCTGTTGAGATCTAGCAGTATCAAACTCCTGGCGACTCTTTCGCTTAATTGACTGACGAATTAAAAAACTCCTAGTGTAAGCCTGGATCTTGAGAGCAGCATTGTTCCGCCTCCTAATATCCTCACGTTTCATCCGCTCAAGGTGAGCATGCTGAAGTAACACTGACTTCTCATTCCTCTTGCTGGCACCAGCTAAATTCTGCTGGGGCTTTCTTCTGTAATCCCCTTCAAAACTGAACATCTTGATACATACTACTGTCACTCAATAATCAACAGTCATCGTACTCATTAACTATAAAAAACATTATTTTTTAATATAAATATTACCAAAATAAATAAGTATTAATTTACAAAACTTTGACAACCCATTGTTGATTTTATTCTTACACTTTCCTAATGTTATTAATTTTTTTTTATTTTTTAAATTCTAGAAATTTTTAATTATACTCTTATTTATTTATTTATTTATTAAGTTACTAATTATTCCTATTTTCAAACTAATATATATTATAATGAATCACACGATAATATGATGACGCGATAATTTATATCAATGACAATTTTTATTATGGAAGTCTTTGCTCAGAAAAATGTGAACATAGCCACAGTTCAGACGTTTCTTGACTTTGACAGTTTCATAAAGTTTTTATAGAAAAATAAAAATTAAAAAAAAAAAAAACGCTTGTGTCACTCTACAAATTATTTATAAATTTTTTTTTAGCAACGCGTTTTTTTTTTTTAATTTTTGTTTTTTAAAATTTAATTTTTAAGTTTTTATTTACCGTGCAAGTGCAACAAAAATAGTACGATTTTTTTTTAATGAGTGCGAATTGAGAAACAAATGCGAATGATTCTCAATTTTTTTTCTCACGTTGGCTAAATGTATCAGTTGTTGATATTGTTATTATTATTACAGATATTTTCACACTGTATCATCCACACAAAACACCGAACGGAGTTTTTAAATAATTTTTCCAACTAAATTATTTATTTAAATAAATTTGTGTTTATTTTTCAAACAAAAGACCAAAAAAAAACTCGTAAGTAAAAAAAAATATATATTGAAAATATTTTGATTTGTAATCACTTAGCTTATAACAATGTGTATAACCTAAAAATAGTAATATTAATAACGTTAGCCGACGTTTTTAATTTTTTTTTAATAATTAAATTAAGCTTTTTTACACATGAATTTTTTCAATAAAAAAAAAATTCTAAAAATTTTTACTTGTCGGCTAACTTAATTTTTATAAAATAGTAACATTTGCTTGTTCGCTCTCCCAAAATAAATATATAAATATAAATATTAATAAATAATAAATAAATTTTCAGAAAAAAATGGCCAGTGCTGCGATGCCCATTAACCCAAAACCATTTTTGAATGGTCTGACAGGAAAGCCAGTGATGGTTAAATTGAAGTGGGGCCATGAATACAAAGGATACTTGGTCTCCGTCGATGGTTACATGAACTTGCAATTGGCCAACACCGAGGAACACGTAGACGGAGTTTGCACCGGAAACTTGGGCGAAGTACTCATCAGATGTAATAATGTCATGTACATAAGAGGCGTTGATGAAGAAGACGAAGAGGGAGAGATGAAAGATTAATGTAGTTTTAGACTAAAAATAAAATTTTTTATAATTTAATTATAGTCATTTATTTTATCAGTAATATGTAGTATATATAATACTCATACTAAAGTTAGCCGACGTTTGTAATCTTTTGATTTTTTACAATTATTAAATTAGAATTTAAAAAATATTTTTTTTAAAATTGCACTTAGTTTGTCAAGTTTTTCACAAATGAAAATTTTTTTTTTATTATTTTGTGATAAAATAAAAATTTTTAGATGTCGGCTAACTTAGTTTTTATAGTTAGCCGACCTTATAATTTTTTTATTTTTTTTAATATATTAAATTGCACTTATAGTTTTTCAAGTTTTAAACAAATGAAAATTTTTTTTTTTCATTTTTTTGTAATAATTTTTTCAATAAAAAAAATTATTAAAATTTTTATGATACTAAAGTTAGCCGACGTTTATAATTTTTTAATTTTTTTTTTTTCATTTATTAAATTGGAGCAAACAAATATTTTTTTTTTTCAAATTGCACTTATAGTTTTTCAAGTTTTTAACAAATGAAAATTTTTTTTTTCATTTTTTTGTAATAATTTTTTCAATAAAAAAAATTATTACAATTTTTAGATGTCGGCTAATTTAATTTTCATGTAGTAATTTTTTTTTTAATTTAGTTTTTAATTATACCGGCAACAATTGGCTTAGGTCGTCCTTTAAACACAAGTTTCTTTTTAACAATCGCTTTTACTCCATACTCAGTATTATCAGCTTCATCCTTTCGTTTCTCCAAAATAGCCAGCGGTTTTGGTAACATAGCTTCTTTGCCATGTAAAATATGCATTCCAATTATTAAAACCGGCGTATCATTTTTCTCATAGTGTAAATCTCCGACAAAACACTTGTTTTTATAATGGAATTCTAAATTTCCTTGGAGTTCAATAATCGCCCATTCTTGCAATTTTCCATCTCTGTAAAAACAATTATTAGTTAATTAATTTATAAATAATTAAATAAATTGTTTTGTTTACTAACCTTACTATCGGCACAATCATTTCAGCGGGAAAAAAAAAACTTAGGACATCTGTTGCGTTCAACGAATGAAAAAAGACAAAACTAGTAAGTGAAAAATTCACCGCTAGGCGGTTACTGCTACAGCATGTATACATGTATATACATTGAGTAGTTTTTTGTTTTCAAGTGATTCATATTTTTTTAACTGACCGTTCATTGTTAAGATAATAATTAACAAATAAATAAATTAATTAATTAATTTTGATTAAAATTATGGCTTCACCGAGACCTAAATCTCCTGAGCAATCAGATAAAAATAGAAAATATGACAGACAATTAAGGTATGAATTATTTTTATTAAATTTATTATTGAGAATAATAACCTTAAAATTCATGATGAGTTTTTGAATGTCAAGAAAATTTAATTAATTATTTTTTTAAATTTAATAATAATAAAGTTAGCTGACGTTTTTTATTTTTTTTAATTATTAAATTAAAACTAAAAAATATTTTTTCAAAATTGCACTCGGATAGTTTTTCGAAATTTTTGCAAATAAAAATTTTTTTTTAATAATTTTTTCAATAAAAAAAATTTTTAGATGTCGCTTACCTTAATTTATGACATTAAAGGTAGCTGTCACTTGACTAATTTTTAATTTTACATATTTAACAAATTAATTTTAAAAAATTATTTTTAGAAAAATTGTATTTTTAATTTTTTTAAATTTCTACGTGTCAATTTTTTTTACCATAATTTATTTGTTTACTAAAAATGATCAAATATCTGCTAAATTAATTTTCATACTTAATTTTTATAATTTGACAATATTTTTACAGATTATGGGGCGATCATGGACAAGCCGCTTTAGAAACAGCTGACATTTGTCTAATAAACGCAACTGGTCTAGGTACTGAGATACTTAAGTCTTTAGTTTTACCTGGAATCGGCGCTTTCACTATTATTGATGGCAAAAAAGTTACGCAGGAAGACATCGGTGCCAAGTAATAATAATAATAATAAAATTTATAATGATACTGAAATTGATAGACATCTGACAACTTATAGAAATTTTTTAACTGATAAATTACAGCAAGTAAAGTTTATTAAAAAATTCTCTCTTTAGAAGCTCTAAAAAATTACAAATACAATTTTTTGTAATTAATATTCTAGACCTAATTTAGTATTCAAGAAAAATAAAAAAAAAATGTCAAGTGTCTGCCAATTTCAATATCATAATTTATAATAAATTATTTTTAAAAATTTTTAACAGTCATGCTAATTAAATTCTTCAGTTTCTTTTTAGACAGCGAAAGCTTTGGAAAGTCGCGGGCTCAAGTAGCAACTCAAATGCTAGTAGAATTAAATTCTGATGTAAAGGGTGATTATATCGATGAAGAGTTGGATCAAATCCTGGAAAATGATCCCGAGTATTTTACTAAATTCTCAGTGGTTGTAGCTACTTCATTGACTGAAAAGTATGTAGAATATTTAATATATTAAATATTACTGAAATGAACTGAGATCTGTCTGTTTAAAAAATTTTTTTAATAAATAAAAAATATCTGAAGACATTTAAAAAAAAAATCTAAATATAGGAATTAAGAAAAAATATTTATTAAAATTTGTAATTGTCTGTAATTTTCAGATCTTTGATTAATTTATCAAAGAAACTCTGGGAATTAAATATACCTTTGATAGTTTGTCAAAGTGTTGGATTCATCGGATACATGAGAGTCCAAATTCAGGAGCATAACATCATAGAATCTCATCCTGATTACGAAATGCCGGATCTTAGGCTAGACAAACCTTTTCCGTCGCTGAAAGCTTACTTGGACTCGATTAATTTGGACGAAATGGACCTCAAAGATCACTCGCACACTCCCTATGTGGTTATTTTGTACAAATGCTTACAAGAGTGGTTATCCAAGGGAAATGGCTTGCCAAATTCTTACAAGGAAAAACGGCAGTTCATCCAGTCTATCAGAGACAAAATGCGAAAAGACGAGAATGGTGATCCTATGGAAGAAGATAATTTTGAGGAAGCCATCAAAGCAGTCAATACTTGCATTGGAGTTACTAAAATTCCTAGTAATACTTCTGAAGTTTTAGAAGATGCTCGTTGTATAAATTTGACTGATAAGGTATTGATACATTTTTACTAATTTTTAGAATTTTTAATTTTAAATAAATTTTTATTTTTCAGAGTCTTCCATTTTGGATAATTGCTAAAGCTATTCGTGACTTTACACTAAACGAAGGAATGGGTTTGTTGCCGGTAAAAGGAGCGCTTCCTGACATGACTGCAGATAGTGAAAAATATATTAGTCTTCAGCAAGTGTAAGCTTATGATTATATTTTATTAAGATTCAGTAATCTATATTATTGAGAGAATAAGCAAAATTTTGTGGCCAGAGTATTTATATGATAAAATGGGTTTTTATGGTTAAATATGGTATCGTTAGAAAGGTCTTTACTAGAAGTTGTGCCTTTTCAAGGTTTCATATCATTCTCACCAATAGTCAATTTATTATGATAAGAATTTAAACTGCATTCGAAAATACTCTATCTCTATAGATAAATAATTAAGAAATGACCTTGTATCTTGTGAACTATTGACATTTTTTAAAGATATAAGCTCATTCCGATGTTATACTCATCAAGACCTTTCATTTGAGTACCCACATCAATTTTTCATATATTTATATATATTACATATTTATATATATGAAAAATATATCAAATTGCATGTGGGTACTCAAATGAAA